CACACAAAAAAAAGAAATCCTAAAGGAAGTCATTCATGCTTATGGAAATGAAATCAGATGTTTGAGCATTGTTTCAAATTATTGGCCGTTGAGTTTGCTCTTTTGTGAATTGACAATTCATATTGTTTACATTAATTTGTATTTTCCTAATTACTAATAAGGTTGAGCAGTTTTAGAATGTTTATTGGCCAGTGAATTTGCTCTTTTATGAATTGATAAGTCATATCTGCCCAATTTTCTATTAAATTTCCTAGCAATTTGAAGAGCTTCCCTTATACTCTATGAATACAAACTATCTGTAATGCAGTTATTTGCCTTTTAACTTTATGGCATCTTTTGACAAAATCTTTCCTCTTTCTTAGTGAAATATATCTATATGTCTCTTTTTATTTTTTGGGTGTCCTACCTTATAAAAAAGAGTATTGTGGGCCTCTAAATACAAACTTCCACATGTCTATAGGATCCTAAAATTTCTTTAACTATTTTCAGTTTGTGTTTTAAGATTAATGACTCAAAATAAACCTCTTTCTTGTGAGTGGTTGCTCCCTAACCCATCTGTTTTTTTTGTTTTGTTTTTTGTGTTTTTGGAGAGACAATACATCTTGTCCTTTTTTGAATCATGGACTTCTTTGAGAATCTGATAAAAGCTATGAACCTTTTCCCCAGGGCAATGTATCTACCCACTCAATTTTGCATATATTATCAGAAGCTTTGTGGACTTTTGATTGTAGCCAGTGTTTAAGCTTCTTGATTCCATTTTAGGGAAATAATTCCTACTTAAATACCATTCTTCTGTTTTTCCATTAGAGTGACATCAGAAGTGTTTACCCTTGTACATTAATTAATTTGGTTCATTGTTGCTCAGATACAGAGCCCTCAGGTAGTTTACATACTTTAAAATATAGTGCAAGCTCAATCTTTAGGGCAGGCACAGAACAAAGTCATTGTCATGTGAGACATTGTTGTAGGTCTTTGTATCAACTATGGAAACCTAAACTACTATGTCAGTTCCTAGAACTCATTGCCATTCAAGGGACTTAGATGCTATAAATATTTAACCTGGTTGAATATTCAGAGTTTTTGTTCCTAGAAGTCATTTCCATCAACTCTTCCCTTCATCTTAACTGTTTTACCAAAGTTAGCCAATTCCCTTTAATGCCTTGAGACCCGTTCTCAGACCTTAAAAACTGTGTTTGTTCCAAAATTAAATGAGCCTGTAGAAGTCTCTCTTTAGTATAATAAAATTTCAGTTTTCCCTCAGCCAATAAATTGATATATTTTGTCTTCCTATAAGGAGTTCCCAGGAACATAAAAGTATCTTTGCATTTTGGGGTTTTAAAGTATGTGGAACTAGAGAAAGAGCGGGTTTTATGTTCCTTTCCTATCCATTTACTTTTAATTTTTATTGCTATAAGTTCTGTTCAGTTTTCACCAAGGAATGCAATTTGGCATTATTAAGAACACAAGCATTGAGTTCAGTCAAAACTGGATTTGTATTCTTGTACCACTCACTCATTTTTAATTTCTGTGAGTTGTTGATTTTCGTGTTTATCTTTTAAACCAAATTAGACTTGAAAAGTATAATGCTCTATATGAAAAGTTTTTTGTTTTTTGTTTTGGCAAAAACTCTTTCTTTTGAAACTGAGTTTTAATGATTCATAACAACCTGCCTGCCAAATGAAATAGCCTTTGTCAATTCATATTCACTTAGAGCTCTTTGCACTACTCAACGCGGATCAGTAATTGCTTGTTGAAATTCCATTCCTCCTTGGTTTCCATGGACATTGTATATCTATGGTTTTTCTTCTTCCTGTCTACCTTTATGATTATTCTTCTATCTCCTAATACCCTGGAAAACAAGTTGTTCCTCCCTAACTGGATAGGACTTTTCATTGCCCCTACATCATGTCTTGATCATTTCCTGCACTTGGGTTTTGCTGTTGCTATTCTTGTGACTGGAATGACATTTTGCACCCATCTAAATCCTGTCCCTCCTTCCTGAATGTATCTCCTTGAGGCTTATCTCAGCTTCTGCAGACCAATGAAGTCTCTTTTCTGATTGGTCATAGATTAAATGAGAAAATTTATGTGAAATTAATTTCTAAATGTTAAAATGTTAATTTTTGATATTCTATCAATATTTTATATTCAAGACCTTATTTATATTTAGACACCTTCATGCATAACCCATATAAAGCTCCCTCACATGGTATTCACTTTTTAGAGTTTTTTTGTAAGTTTTATTGGATTGTACTTAAATACAATAAACTGCACATGTTTAAATTACCTAATTTGATAAAATTTGGCATATGTACATCCATAAAATGAAACCATCCCCCACAATCAAGATAGTGCATAAATCCATCATCCTTGAAAGTTTCTTTGTGCCCCTTTGTAAACCTCCCTTTCACTCCTCCTTTCCATCCTAGGCAACCACTGATTCTGTCATTATAGATTAATTTTCGTTTGCTAGGATTCTCTATAAATAGAATCATACAGTTATATTCTCTCTCTTTTTTTTGTCTAGCTTCTTTTATACAGTGTAATTATAGATTAATCTTTGTTTTTTCTTGAATCCATAGTTTATTTCCTTATATTAAGTATCATTCTGTTGTATGTATATACTGTAAATTGGTCGTCTACTTACTGATGAACGTTTGAGATGTATTTTTAATTTTCGATGATTACAAATAAAACTGCTATGAATATGTGTATACAGGTCTTTGTGTAGACATAGATTTTCATTTTCCTGGGGAAATACTTAGGAGTGAAATGACTGGATCATATGGTAGGTTTATGTCTTTTTCAGAAACTGCCAAACTGTATTCTAAATTTTGCATTCCATCAGCAGTAACTGTCGGTTGTCATACTATATGTTGCTATGATGCTGAAAGCTGTGCTACCGGTATTTCAATACCAGCAGAGTCACCCATGGTGGACAGGTTTCAGCAGAGCTTCCAGACTAGGAAAAAGGACCTGGCCACTCATTTCTGAAAAAATTAGCCGTAGAAACCCTATGAATAGCCGTGGAGCATTGTCTGATACAGTGGCGGAAACTGATAGGGTGGCATAAAAACACTGGGCAGAGTTCCACACTGCTGTACAGAGAGTCGCTAGGAGTCAAAATCAACCCAACAGCACTAACTACAAATCAGGAGTAAATGAGAGTTTCAGTTGCTCTGCGTCCTCGCCAGTACACTTGGTATGGTTAGGCTTTTTAATTTTAGACATTTTATTAGATCTGTAGTGGTAGCTCACTGTGGTTTTAATTGGCATAGTTTTTAGTACAGCTTGAAGGACAAGAGTTGAACATTTATCTTCAAATTTTTTTCCTTTTTTTTTTAAACCTCTGAATTTGAGAAATCTGCATTCTATGATAGCAACTTTCTGCTTTGAAAATAAAAATACATTTAAAGTTTATGTCAGTGTTTGCTTGGCATGTTAAATACATGTGCTTGGTGATATTCATAAGCAATTAGTCAATGGTAACAATTGAAGATTAGAAGTAGTGACAATAAAAGCATCATCAATTCTCTTAAGTAAATAAACCTTATGCTCTTAGAAGTATTTAGAACTGTTTTCTTTGGTTTGTGCTTTCCTTTATTTGTCAGTTCTAGTTGTTTAAGAAAGAGTAAAATGATCGTTTTTAAAAATTTGGCTTGCAATAAAATTACTTCTTTTTAGAGAGAACTTATTCATGATTATGAAGGACAAAAGAATTTGAACTAAAATTTTTCTAAGAGGTTTTTTTTAAGATTTCTAGCCATTAGATTTTTTTTTTTTTTTAACCAAAAGAGCTATGCCCTGAGATTTGAGACTTCATCACATAGAAAGCAGGAGAAAACTATAACCCAAGTACTGTTTTCTATCAAATACGGATTGACAACAGTGTTTTTATGCATCTGTTCTGCCCACATAAGAAGCCAGTTTTATCATCTGGATGTGTCCTGGGGCTGAAACTTCTTATAAATATGAGAATTTCACTTTTTTTTTTTTAATGGCAAGCAGAATATGGTATCCAGCTGTGGATTTGCTTATATATTATGTTTGCATTTTTTTTCCCTGGGCTTGTTTTATACAGTATATGGCAATATGTTGTCATACAAATTCCATGATTAATGCTTATTTATGAAATCTTGTGTAAATATCTTAGAACTTAGTCAAACAATGTGCAAGTTAAATGGTTTTTTCTCTGAATATTGGAATGACAAATCCGAGGGGAATAGTAGGTTGGATAGTTTATGTTCTTTATCTATAGAAAAGTCTCATATATAACATTTTGCTTTTACTATTCTATGTTATATCCTTCTTTTTCACATTATTTTGCTGGGCAGGAAATCCAGTTTGACATTTATTCCTCAGAAAAATAGAATTTAAATGTATAAATCATTCAGAAATAAGAATGGTAATTATTTCATATATCACTAAATAATCATATTTACTAGGATATATTTGATTTCTAATTTTGATCCTGACCTCTGTTTAAGAGGCATTTCTTTGTGTTTATTTTATTATTCATGTATTAAAAGAAATCTGCTGTCCCATAATAAGCTGTTATATTAGCATTATTATCATATTAGTGTTATTTTCCCACAAAAATGCTAAATTGCTGATGAAATATCACAGTGTAAATAGGTGACAAATTTCAAGTGTGAATAAATTCATTATATCTATTTCAAATTCAAATGATAAAATGCTTAAAACAGTAAATTTGTTATAAGAATTCTTTTTCTCTGTATATCTCATCAGAATCATAGTGTCATGATAAAATATTCATGATCATATATGTAATAATTATAGTATATATGTAATATATAATAATTATGTATCATACATTATAGATCATGATGTAATATCATGGTCACTGATACATTGATAGATTTTTGTTTCGTATATTTTTGTTTGCCTGAACTTGTTTTAATTTTCTCACATTTAGTATTTTAGTCAGTTGTGACTACAAGTTGAAAAACTTGTTTTCCCTTTTTTTTCCTTCTACTCAGGTGCAGCTCTTATATGAGCTAACTGATATCATGAATAAGGTCTGGAATAAGATTCAGAAGAGAGGTAATCTCAGTCCTTCTTCAGCCTATCCAGAGACCATGGCAGGGCCTATTCCCAGTTCTCCAGTCAGAAGCAGTGTAGGCACAGCTCCTCCAGATACCAGCACATGCAGCCCATCTGCTGACGTTGGAACTACTACTGAGGTAAGTGTTTCTGAAAAAATCTGTTACCAAATGAAGGGTGATATATACTACAGAGTTCTGCACCAGGATTGAAAACGAAGATGACCTTACCTCTTTGGAAGCTGGCAGGTTCAGAGGCTCATGAGGAACTGTGGTAGCAGTGGCTGTGTATGACTGTTACCTTTATTTCCAAGTATTTTAATCACTTTCAGTTGGTAGTGGGGTAGTTCAGGACAGTGGGGTTCTATGAAATAGTAAAAACAGAGCCACAATAAAGGTATGTTTCCTCAGAAGTATGGAAACTCAGAAGCTGAGTGAAAAAGAGGCTTATGCTCCTCCTTCCCCTACCCTCTTTGCCTCTGCCTCTTTTTTGAACCAGGGTGTTATTGTTATCTGTAGATTAGTCGTTTTCAATCCTGTCAGACTCATAGCCTTCTTCTCCTTCTTTCTGATCATAAAAGCTTTTCTTTTCATTTTTAACACCCGAACATCACCCAATATGACAGTGCCCCTTTTTTATAACAAGTATTTTATAATGCCCCCTTTACTATTCTGAAATGAAAATAAAAATAATATAGCCTACATATACATATAATTTCAAAGATATATAATATCTTAAATAAAATATAAAGGATAAAAGGAAAGTAATTTAAGGTACAATAATATATATTTCAATATATAATGCTCAGGCATGACCACATTAGAAGACATAATGAAGTAGTCAGGTAAATATAATTACTGTGAATGTGACTGATACAAATAGACTTGGTGCTGGTCTATATTAAATATCACAGTGGTATTGTTGTTGGTGGTGTGATTTTCTGAAATAGTGGCAAACTCTCGGTAAAGTTTCAAACAGAACAAAGTTCAGTCTTCCTTTTATTTCAGTACTTGCATTTCTGGAACACTTACTGTATAATAAAACGATGCAGAAATGCCAAAAAACTTGTGTTTAGACTTAAAACCTAATTCAGTTTTATGCCCAAATATTTTTAAACAGGATTTTCACCTGTGTGAATGTTAGTGAGATAATCTTCATTTTTCAAGACTGTCATATTCATCATAGGACCTATTGACTCCCTAACTCCTAACTCTTAAATGCTGGTAGTGACACCCAATTATTGAGTCGACCAAAAACAGGCTAATACAATTCCAAAACACCCCTGGGGGGCTGAACTTTCACCTCTGATAACTACTATAATAGATGGAGGTAGAAGTTAAATTTTTGTTTTTGCATGAAGACGTAATTTCCTCTGGCAACAAAGCTATTGGCAAAAGACAGAATGGGAGAAAGAATCAAGTAAAGAGGATGTTAATTTTTTTTCTTACAAATCAGTGAAGGCAAATAAACTCAGTTAAAAGGCCAATTTTTTTTTTACTTGCTCATAGGTTTACACATGTTTTAGTAGATCTCTTTGACCCCTGTACAAGCAACTTTTCTATCCCTGCTCATTCCAAATCTTAAGAAACACAATGACTTAAGTAATGGGGTTACTTTTTTTTTCCGCCTAAATGGCAAAGGTGGGGAATCTAGAAATGTGCCTTTATGAAGTCAATGGGGCATATCCCTTCTAGGGTAAAAGCAGTGAATTCTTTCTTGGGGATTCCTAATGTTGTTAGAATACAAAATCTCCTGCTGTAAAGAAACCTGTTTAACTTTATTGAATGCAGTAGTTTCCAAACTTATTTAACCAAAGACCCTTTTTTCATAGCCTTCATATCAATATTGCACAGAATACACTTTGTGAAATCCTATGGGACTTTGTGAAATCCTATGGGACATATGGCTGACTACTCAGCTACTCAGTTCTGAGTAAATCCTAGTGTTGTCCCTGTCTCATTTTCTCTCTCCATGTCTTTGAACTACTTTTTCTTTTTGCTTTGTTTTCTGTTTTTCCCCTCTTTTTTTCCTCTCTCATTAGCTCTTTGTGTTTTCTTTGTAGGTCATTTCCTCAGTTCCCTTTTTTTATTCCATTTTACAAAATCGCCCTTTAGCTATTTCTAATCCACTTGGTTTCAGTCAGTAGATGATAAAAGCAGGAGATTAGAGTGTGAGAGGAGAGAGAGGTTGGTGTTTTTCTTTCTGGTTCCCTCCCTGCTTTGGTCCCCTATATGGAAGACATCCATGACATTCTTCAGTCTGGTGAAGCCTCATGTGGATTGTCTCTTTGCTGAAGAAGCAACTCTTTTTGGCCCTAGGCCTTATAAAGGGTTCTTTAACTCAGGCTCTTAGCCTTGTCTCAAGTCCCAGAAGGAGTGTTAAAAATGTCATTGCTCAACCCCTAAACCCTTACCTGAGTTTGACATTGACATTTGCCACCATGGACTCAGTTCCCACTCGTTACCCTGACTGTATTTTCTCTTCATTTCTGACACGTCGAGATTTGCCTTTATTTAAGTTTAGCTATTCTACTAGTCGGGAAAAGATGGCATTCTCAAATTGGGCAGTTTTAGGAGAGTTTAATAAAAGGACAAAGGTGGTGACTGAAAAGGAAAACCACAGGAGATAGTACAGTACCTGGAACTGGTAACAGTGGGATGTTGTTGCTACCAATAGGCTTAAAGGTGGGGAGGGAAAGGTTATCAGAAGAGGGAATAAATACCCTGACTTCATTCTCCTCCCTCCTTCCTGTCTCCTGCCAGTGTTCTTCATTAGCTGAAATCAACCAGACACCAGAGGACAAGAATTTTTATACATGTCGTTCATATTGGTTAGCCTCTCAAGCACAGAGGGTGTTAAAGGATAGAAAGTAGATCAAGAAGGACAAAGAAAAGACATACAGCACTTTAATGTATTAAAACAAATTCTTATTGTATTTTATCCAGAATTTCTATGCTTTTGTAGTGGAAAAGGAAAATGTTCATTTCACCTTAGTCTGCCATGTTACTTGAATTATAATTTCTTTAACATCATTGAGTATTAAGAACCAGTCTTTTGACTGTTGAACCAATCTTTGTTTTTCTCACTCTGCCTTGTACATATTATGTTAGGTTTTCAATACCATCAATTAACTTTTTTTGGTGATTTTTTTTTTTGTGGTAAAATATAAGTAACATAAATTTACCATTTTAGCCATTTTTAAATGTGCAATTCAGTGACATTAAGTATATTTACAGTGTTGTGCAACTATGACCACTATCCACTTCCAGAATTTTTTCATCATTTCAAACCAAAACTCTGTACCATTAAACAGTGACTCCCCATCCTTCCATTCTCTCATCACTGTCCTTGGGAACCTTTATCATACTTTCTGTCCCTGTGAATTTGCCTGCTCTGGGTACCTTATGTAAGAGGAATGATAGCATATTTGTCCTTTTTGTGTCTGGCTTATTTCCTTTAGTGTAATGTTTTTAAGTTTCATTCATGTAGTAGCATGTATCAGAATTTCATTCCTTTCTATGTCTGAGTAATATTCTGTTATATGTATATAGCATATTTTGTTTACCCAATGACCTGTTGATGGATCTGGGTTTCTACCTTTAGGCTATAATGAATAATGCTGCTATGAACATTGGTGTACAGGGGTTGAGTAACTTTTAATGAATTAATTTTGCCCTGAAGAAATTATATGCATCTAATATGACTTGTGCCTGACAAATCATTTCAAAATTAATGTAATACCAGAAATGCTATTTTAATTTTTCTTTAACTGTTGAAATCTGTTGATAACTGAGGTTATTTGGTATAAAAACTAGAAGGTAGGGGGAAGAAAGTGAATCCAGAATCTTTAAGGATAATTTATTCAGTACTGATTTTCTGACTCAGAAGAGCACATTTTTGTCATTTTAGTGTGATTTGCTTACTACTAGCATGGATGGTCTAGAATCATAGTGACATTTAATATTATCCCCAAATGTGTTCAAGCATATTTCAAAGTTTTGGCAGAGAATGTGGGTACCAAAGGGAAAAAAGGGAAAATTAGAGTAGTATGTTGGGTTTCCATAGTAATCTTGCAAACGGAAAAATAAAACGTTAGTAATTTATTTTCTCTAAGGTATATTTTTTTTCTCCTGGGAAAAAATAGCTAAATTGTGTCTGCTACTTCCAAACTCCTTGTCGTACACTCTCTCTTTTATCAGCCCTAAGAATCACCTTCCTCTGACTTTGGTATAATAATTTTGCAGAGTTTGGCAAATGAGCAAAGATGTTTCTCTTGATTTCATCAACTTACAGCTATATTATTGAAGGGAATTGTTGGAGAGATCACTTAGACCAGCATCCTCATTTTATGTATTAGAAAATTGAAACAAGTGAATTGAAATTAGTGTTGCACAAAATAGGGACTGGGCCAACTTATCTTAGCGTGATTCTAAGTTAACAGAATCTATGGAAGAGACTTTGAGATCAGACAACTTGAGTTTTTATCTCTACAACTTATGATCACATTATTTAACTTCTGTGCCATAGCTTCATCGTTTGTAAAAATGGGGATAATGTTAATATCCATCTCAATATGTTATACAAATATTAACTAAGTATGTAACAATTTGCCCATACACCCTATGAACATGGTATATGCTTCTGTTTATTTGTGTGTCTTTTAATTTCAATAACATTTTAGTTTTCTTTTTACAAGTCTTGCCCCTTTTGTAATAGATGTATTCTTCAGTATTTGATACTTTTTATTCAATTGAGATGATTATGTGTTTGTTTTTCTCTTTTATTCTTTTACTGTGGCTATTTACATTGATTGATTTTTCAAATATTAAGCTGATCTTGCATTTCTGGAACAAACCCAACTTGGTTGTGATATATTTTCCATTTTATATCTTGCTGGATTGTGTTTGCTAATATTTTATTTAGTCATGAGTGATACTGGCCTTTAACTTTTCTTTCTCATATCTTTGTCATATTTTGACATCAAGATTATACTGTCTTCATAAAATGAGATGTGAAGTGTTTCTTCTTGTTTTATTTCTTTGGAAAAGTATACATTTCATGTGAAAATTCTTACAGTCACTATATATTCCCGTGATAATCAACAAGGTAATCCTAACTGAAAAGGTACTTGGGTATAACA